CTCCCTAACCTCCCAATTTTTCCATTTCCTTAAACCTAATAACCTAGTCCTTTACTCCACTTAAGCCATCCACAGGGATGGTCACACACTGGTCCTCCTCATTACACAGTAAGTAAATTCCACTTACCTAATTAAAAATTCCACCCTTCATCTATCTGACCATAACCTCTTCCTATCATTCCATTTCTCCCTATGTCTCACCCTCTTAAACCCCTTTGCCCTCATTGAAACTTCTAATTCCTCCAGTCACTACCCTTGCTCTGACTTCCCTTCCCTTCCTCTCTACTCTTGACTTCAGAGTTGCCAGTTCAGCTCTACACTGTTACCTCTTCTCAAATTCCTCACCAAACCTCAGCTCTGGCTCTAACCCTCCATCTGACTCCTCCACTCCTATTCAGATGCTGCTGAGCAGAACTGGTGCAAGTCCACTTTGCTTCTCTCCTGCAATCTCCCACAACCACACTTTCCCCCTCTCAAATGATGCTCTCACCTTCTTCTGAAGTCTGAGAAAACTGAGGTCTCTGAACATAAGCTCCTTATTTTCCCCTTTTCTTCATCTCCAAACCCCTGATGTCATCCCCTGCCTTTGCCTCTTTTCCCCTAGTCTCTGACAAGGAGGTGGCCCTTCTCCTTGCCACAGCCAACCTCTCTACAGGTCTCCTTTTTCCCATCTTCTCTAACATATTTCAACCCAAATCATCCCATTCTTCTCTCGTTTTCAACCTCTCATCTACTGCTTGTTTCCCTACTGCCTTCAAAAACGTCTAAGTGTCCTTCATCTTAGAAAAAATTTCATCAGACTCAACTATCCCTTCAAACTCCTGTTCTCTATCTCTTCTCTCTTCGTCAAACTTCTAGAAAAGCTGCCAAAACTCACTGCTTCCACTTCCTCCTCTTACTCCTCAACCCTTTGCAATCTGGCTTGAGACTTCACTCAATCAAAACTTTCTCCAAAGGTAACTCTTAATTGCCAAATAAAATGGCCTTTCCTCAAATGTCATAAATCTATATATTCAGCACTAGTTTACCAATTGTCTACTGGACATTTCAAAGGGTAAGTTCCAGAATCAACTCAAAGTCAACATGTCCAAAACGTTCTCTTCCCTCCCCCCACCAAACCCATTTCTTCTAATCTTCCCTATTCCTGTCAAAGGCATCATCACTCTCCCAGTCTCTCAGTGTCATCCTTGACACCTCATATTTCTTCATCCCCTCCGTACTCAATCAGCTGGCAAATCTTGCTGTTTCTATCTCCACAACATATCCCAAACACGACCTCTTCTCTCTATTCCAACATCCACCACCTTGGTCTTGAGATGATTGCAAAGGCCTCCTAATTAGTCTCTTTGACTCAAGTCTCTAGTCTATTCTACACACTGATATCTTGGAGGCTTTGGATGTAGGAGCTTTGACTTTGTTGTCTTCTTCTGGTTGTATGTTTTGATCTTCTTTGTTACCAAAGAAAGAGTCTATGGTCTGAATTTTTTTTTGCAGTTTGCTCATGATCTCAGCCAATTACTTGAGTTTTAAACTCTTTGTTAAGGTAGGGGTCTGCTTCCAGTGTGGAGAATGTACTGTCCCAAGCTTGGGTGGTTTTGTGCAGCTGTTTTCAGAGATACTTCTAGGGACCTGTAAGTCTTCAGTTCTTCTAAGGTGGTATGATCAAGGGTGAGGTGTTTACTCCTTTCCTGGCCTGTATTCTGGTCTATGAGTGACCACAAGCACTCTTTTCTGCCTTGGAACTGTGAGGAGGATTTCCTCAACACCACCACTACAAGCTCCACCATGCCAGCACTCCTCCTTGCTCCAGGATGGCCCCCAGAATTATGACCCCGATCTAAGCATGGGCAAAGCAAGAGAATCCTGCCTCAGTACCAACAAAGAGATCCCTGCAAGCCCCCTCTGATCAGCCACTCAATTCCCCCTCAGTCTGTGGGCCAGAAGCTCTAGAAGCAGTCGCCGCCCTGGGGCACGCCAGGACTGGGGCTAGGACAAGCTTCTCTCTCACCGCAGTCACAGAGTTTTCCTACAGTTTTCCTTTTAGGTTGTGTTTGGTGTTTGTGGGCTGAGAAGTCTGGAAACCACCACAGCTGCCCGTGATTCAGTCCCCTAGGGCCTGCTTCAGGTTCATTGAGGCCTGGTCTTTGCCTGCTTGCCCAAAATGAACTGCATTTCTCTCCCAGCCTAGCACGACAGACCTCTGGTTGTCTTGGGCTGGAAATTTGTTTCACTCTGTCCTTTTGTGGGTTCTGCTGCTCTAGACTTTGTTTAGAGCCATTTTTTACAAGTATTTGGAGGGGTCTGAGGAAGAGTTCAACCAAGTCACTGCTTTTACTATGCCATCTTGACTCTGCCCCACCCCCCCACACTAATGTCAAAGGGATTTTTGAGGATGACCATGTCACTTTCTCATGGTACCACACTCTATTTCCTGGTTCTATGATTTGGCATTAGCCATTCCCCATGACTGGAATGTACTCCTCATCTCCACCTAACAGAATTCCTCTCTTCCTTATACATGAGGCTCAAGTACCACCTACTACATGAAGCTTTTCCTGACCCACCTTAACTGCTACCTCTCAAACTACCTTTCATTTCAAATCTGAAATTCTTCAGATTTATTCTCTTTATACTTATTCTGTGGCCATGAGTGTATGTATGTGCATGCATGTGTGTACACTCATATGTATCTCTCTGTGGTCTCATTTGTATGTCTCAAGTGGACATTTAATAAATGCCTGCTGACTGACTGCTACAGATGAAGTTGAGACCTGCGAGAGAGATGATTTGTCCAAGGCAACAAAGTTTTTAAGTAGTTAACATTAGGACTTCAGCTCCTCCTACTATATAGTTTTGCCTCTATACCTCTGTATGCTACATTCCCCACCCCCAATAATTCAAATAAGTGAAAATGTCATTTTCAATATTTCATGAAGTGCCTCAAGAAAACTGGAAGAGTTATGGACCCAGCAGAATCAGAGCAGGGGACGAGCAAGTTGGGCTGATGCAGCAGGGCAAGTGCAGGTGGCCGCCACAAAGCTGCAGCAGAGAAGCAATGCAAGCATCTTCTCAGAGGGCACTGGGATCACAACTTCCTCAGCTGAATACTGGAAAGGACCCTAAAGGCCTTCTTGTCAAATTCTGCCATTTTACAGATGAGGTAAACAAGGCCCAGAGAGCTCAAGGGCACACAGAGAGCAGAAGGGATGAGCTTCTCTTCACTTGGGCCCTCTGACTCCACATCCAGTGGTCATGTCAATAACCTCACATCCACCCTCTCTGCTAGGCTAGTCCACGCCTAACCCTGCAAGTCCTATATCCCCCTCCCTTCACAACCAAGCTAAATTCATGAACTCTACAAAGCCTCCCTAACCAGGACAGTCTAGTGAGCATCTTTCCCTTTTGAATTCCTACAGAATCTGCTGCACCATGTATTTGGACAAAGATCTTCAGCTAGCTCCTTAAGGAAGGCACCTCTCTGTAAAATATTTGTCACCACCCATAGCTTAGCACAATAGCGTACACTCAAATGTTGGAAAAAAGGATGTTTGGGAAAAAATGTTCAGAAAACTACGCCTAAGAAGTAATTACTAGCACGCCACCTCTAGTATTCCTTCCCTCCTCTACTCTCTATTCCCACAAACACCTGCTGTATACACCTTTGTTTGGACAACTATAATAGCTTCCTAACCCACCTTTGCCTCTATTTCTCTTCCCTCCAATCCATCCTTCACTGCCACCAAATCAATTTTCTACCACAAGCACTACACAGTGCAGCTCCGACCACAGTGCCTCCACTCAAAACCTTTCAATGGTGCTCTAGCACTGACCATGTTGGAGCCTAGTATTCAAGACTCTCTCTGATTTGACTCTATCCTCCCTTGCTAGCTTCTGTCATACCACTCCACTGTTAAAGTTAAAGCGCATTACAGTAAGCAAAACCTGACTCACCCTTTCTGGACATCCTGCCCTTGTACCTGGAATTCCCTGTTCTAAGACTTTCTATGAAACATTTGAAGCCTACTTTCCCCCCATGATTCTTCCCTGACATTCCTAGCTGTTTATTCTCTTTATCACCTGATCTCATAGCCTTTTATTATTCTTATACATTAAGCACAGTTTAATCTTTATCAAGCTCTATAAATGTTTTATTTCAGCTACTAGAAAGTTAAGTCCTTAACAGTAAGGGTTGTACATAATTTACCTTTGTTTACTATGCAACAGAATATGTACTACCAGAAGCTGTAATTTCATCAGCATGAGTAGTCCCCCACTGACAAAAATCGTAATTCCTCTTCATTCGTTGTATCAAAAAAAATGACCCTTTGTCTCTACTACCTTCTCCTTGTATTATGATTGCAACAGAAATCTACTGACTAGCCATCCCAGGTTGGAAGGAGCTGCCAGAACTTGTGTTTGCTGACATAATCTTTCAGAATCAGGGTCACCTGCCATTCAAAGACTTGCATCACAGAAAACAAATGAAAACTACAAATTGAAAAATGTTAATTATACAAATCTTGGTTTCCTTATAAATAAAATTGGGATAATAGTACTACCTATCACCTACCTCTCTTGTTATAAATAAGGAAAGACTTTGTAAACTTCACAGGACTACAGAAATATATTCTTCTAAGATTATTATCAAGAGCATAAAATGAATATGGTGCATCATGAAATCAAGAAGGAAAGGTCTCTTTCATAAAGGGTGATTAGGGAAAGGCTTCCAGGAAGTGGCATGTGACCTGGATCTTGGAAGAAGGGAAGGACTTCAACATGTTGAAATGGAGGGGAGGAGAGCATTCTGGGTGAAAGCCTGCCTGCTGAGGTGGGCAAGTATGGAATAAGTTCTGGACCCAGAAAGTTTGGCAAGAACATTCACTATCTGGTGAGCTGGGCAAAGTGGTGTGGGATGCCAGGTTATGGAGTTTAACTTTATTTTGGAGACATTTAACATCTGATGAATCAACATGTAGCCCTCAGATAACCATGCTCCTTACCGATATAACGAACTCCTGGTTTAATGACAATGGCACTGCGGCTGCGGGTCTCCTCCTCAGCTTGGGCCATGCTTTGCCGGGCTTTTTGGTAAGAATCATCAGTGGCACACACAGTAATCTTGTCCTGTATACTGCCCAGGCAGTCCAGATGGACATTTCCATTGCTGAAATACAAATAAGAAACTGAGTACTCTACTTTATTAGCAAATAACTGAAAGCCAGGAAACCTGTGAAGAAACTCCAAGACTCGATCATTTCCTGGAAGGTGACACTTGCCCTCAAATGCCTCCCTTCTACAAATTCATTTCAAATAGAAGAACAGTAATCCAACCACCAAAAAGCCTATTAAAGCCATTCTCCAGCATGTTACCTCAGTCTAGCATACTGGGAAACATTCCTGACTACATACACCCGACCAGCTAGCTCTGGGAAACCTGGGTTCTAGTGCCAGCAATACTACTGACCCCCTGGCTTTGGGCAAATGAACTTATTTCCCCTCTCTGGGCCCCGATTTTTTCATCCGTAAAAATGAGAGGACTAGAAGGTCTTAAGGTCTTTCCACCTCTGATATTCCATATTATGAGTTTCAAAGTTGCTTCCAGCTGTATGATTCTATGATCCTGGGGTACATGTTTTAAAAATAAAATTTAGTTTAACTGTAGGCAGAGACACAACTTTTAAAAGGACAGGTGACACCATGTTGATGCATATTTGCATTAATGCTAATTATTCCATAATATCACTCACCTGGACACATATTGCTGGATGCAATCAAAGCTCCCTTGGGGGCTATCCCTGCCAATATTTGAAAGATAAAATGTGAAAGTTCGTACTTCTGTTGGATAACCAGGCCGGGGAATTGTGATGTGCTGTTTGGAAAGGGAAGGGGAAAAGTGTCAGTCACTTGGAAAGTGGCACTGTGTGACCTTTACTTAGGTTAACCAAAAACCACTGGTTAAATCATCATTATCACCATAAGCCAAGAACAACCTTAATAACGATAAGAAGAACTAGCATTTATAATATAGCACCTTAGGGTTTGCAAACTGTTTTACACATATTGTCCCATTTGACCCTCACAATGACCCTGGGATGTAGGTGCTACTAACAACCCCCATTTCAAACATGAGGAAACTGAAGCTGAGAGACATTTCTTGACTTGCCCAACGTCAAACAGACAGTTAAGTGTCAGAGTCAGAATTCAAATCTGACTCTTCCTAACTCTAAGTCCAGCACTTTATGCACTACAACAACTAACTGCCTAACCTTATGAATTAATAAATTACTCAATTCACAGGAGAGTAATTTCATTTTTCATCAATCTTTAAATTTCTCTTTTTGTCATAATTCTTGTACAAATAGCTATCAAGCTTTACCAAGATCATAAGAGAAATCCTATATGAGTTCCCACGTTGGCCCCTGGATCTCCACTTCAGTGTTCTTTACTTAGGCTGTTCTCCTACCTGTACCCTTGCTTGGACTCCCTTATCTGTTAACATTCTACCTAAACTTTCTGAGGCCCTTCTCACATGCTGTCTCTTCCATGAATCTTTTCCTGTTCTATTTTCCCCAGCCAAAAGGGACTCCTCTTTCCTTTGAAATCTCAGAGCACCCAAAGTTCCTCCTTCTCCTCACCCCTTTTAGATACTTATATTCCTCTCCTTACTTTTCACATCTCTCTCAGACCCTAGCAGAGAGTAGGCCTTTAATAAATGTTTGGTTAATGAATGATGACAGTTTCAGGGGCAAGATGACTTGGATATGGAAAGGCCATATGGGATGCTGTTGACAAGTAATTACGTCTAGCACATTCCAGACTATAAGGAAGATGGCTGGGACAGAGAAAGAGAGTTTGCTCTTCTCTTTAGCTACTGGCTTTCCACTGTAAAATTGTCATTGTACTCCTAGGTCTCTTAGAAGGTCAAATTAAGAAAATCACTTGCACTTAAGGGGAAAAGGGTCACTAAAATTTCTTCTTCCTGTCTTACCTAAAAGCAAGGTAAATAAAGCAATACTGCTTTAATTTGGGATCTTAATGATGATGGGGTTTTTTGGTTTTATTTTGTTTGTTTTTAAAGAAAGCTAGCCAAAGGAGTGCATATAAATTTAATCCTACATTTTAATGACACACTGACCTAAAGAGCATTTACTAGATATCAAGTGGACTTGAAACCAAATAATTTAACTGTTCTGTTATCAAAAAACATACTTGAGCTAGGAGGCAACAGGTTATAAAACAAAGAACACTGTCCTATGATGACATAAGATACTTGGGTTCTAGACTCAGTTCCGTCATTCACTTCCCGTAATGGGCAAGACACTTTATCTTTGTAAATAGGGGAAGAAATTCCCATTTTGACACTCTGTATTCTACATTCTAGCTCCGAGACAGCCTAAATCTATTTTTTTCCTCCAAAAGCTAAGATTCTGTACCTACCTCATTTATGTACTAAGTATTTCACTAGAGCTCCTGCTGTTGATATACTACTACTCGCTGAACACATGTAACCACCCAGAGCAGACTTAAAATAACCCATTTACAGATGTGACTTTTGTTCTCAATTACAAGTCATTCGAAACACACTACACAGATGACTGAGTTTCAAGTTTCTGAAAATCATTGCCAATCAAGGGTTCATGAAAAGCTCAGAAAATCATGGCATGTTTCTAGTTTGACTTTTACTCATAATTACCTTAAATACATTAACTGGAAGCAAATTCTAAGAAATCATAAAATTGGGGAAAAAATCAAAAGTAACTTCTGAGTAAACCTGAAACCACTCATATTAACTACTTTTTCAAATACTCTCTGATCCTCTTTCTTTTTACCACCTGCAAATAAAACACCATATCTTTTTAATACCAATTAAACAAATTCCCATTTCTATGGTGATATGCAACTTTCAAAATACTTTCCTCACAACCATCCCGAGTGGGAAAGGTCACACAAGTAGCTTCATTCCCATTTGACAGAAGAGGAAATGGAGGCTGTCCACGGCCACATAGCTAAGAAAAAGCAGGAGCCAGGATTTGTACTAGGGCTTCTGATTCGAAATTCTAAGATACTAAGTCTTTACCACAGCAAAATGTACGGATTCAGTTACAGAATTCTATCACTACATTTAGACTGGAAAAGTCTTAAGGGTCACATTACTGTTGTCTTCAAATACTCAAGGAGGGAGTTGTCACAGGGGAAATGGATCCGAAAACAGAACTCCAAGCCGTGGGCGGAAGTTGCAAGGGCACAAATTTCAACTCAAAAGCAAGTAGGGACTCCCTAATGATCAGAGCTGTCCAAACACTCCTCACTGTGAGGAAAGAAGATGACTTGTTGGAGACAGTGTATACAGGAGATTGTTGCTGTAACTAGGGACTATGCTGTGTAATGCTGGCTACTACATCTTACCTCTCCAAAGGGCCCATTTCAGTTCATTTTCAGTATAATGGAGGCATTCAAGTAAATTACCTAACTGTCCCTCAGAGCTCTAGTACACTGTATTGGGAAGGGGGTGGTATGTTTAATGTAAGGGTTGAAGTAAATCCTTTTAAACAAAGGATTAACTATATACCTTTAGTGTTCCTTAACCAAAGGTATATGAAGGCAAAAACAGATGGTATCTTTATTTTGCATTATTTAAAGAGGCTGAAAAAAATTAAGGGTAAGGGTAAATCCCAAACAGTGTTTTGTTCCCTCAGCTGGAAAGCACAAACAGCCCTGGACAGTCATTTCTGGAGTCTAGCCTCAATTATCAATAAAATGGAGGTAAAAGTTGAACACAACCTACCTCCCAGGGTTGTTCTGAGGACAGCACTTTTGTAAACCTTCTGTTAGGAGGCTACATAGGTATTAGAAAAAGCAATGGACTTGGGATGAGAAGAAGCCTAGGTTAGAATTCTGCATCAGACACTAAGCTGAGGCCAAGTCATTTAACCACTTTGGGCCTCAGTCTCCTCGTTCTAAAATGGGGGCTATAATACATCACAGTGTTATTATATTAAGTGAGATGATGCACGTAAATCTTAAAAGTGTTACATAAATGACAACTATCACTATTATTAAAGTGTAATGTGAGCTGCTATTATCAGTTAATGTTAAGGCACTTTCACATATATCATGACTTGGGATCAAGACCCTGATTTACCAAGTCTGACCTTTATAAAACTGCAATGCACTATGTAAATGAGTTATTAATCCAAACAATAATCATTCGTTATTACCCTTCTCTGTACAAATGAAAGTACTGAAGCCTCAAAGGTCACAAAGCTAAACACTGATAATGTCTGGATAAGAACACAAGTCAGTCCTCTTGCACCTAGTGTCCAGTGAAGGAGATGAGGCAGGTATTATCTCCACTTGATAAATGAGGAAACTGAAGCTCAGAGTGAGAAAGTGACTTAATAATGGCTAGCACTGATTTAGTGCTTTAAAGTTTACAAAGCACTTTACAAATATTACCCTTTTTGATCCTCACAACAACCTTGGAGACAGAAGCTGTTATTACTCCCGATCGTCAGATGAGGAAACACAGGCAGACAGAAGAAGTGACTTGCCTAGCATCACACAGATGGTCTGAGGCCATACTTGAACTCAACCCTTTTGACTTCAAATCTAACAATACTCTGCCCACTGTACCACCTAGCTATCCAAACCTGGCTTGTCCAATATTCCAGAACTCAGGAGTCCAGTGCTACTTCCTCCTGTGACCTGAGGATCAAATACTGACTTTTTTATATTTTTAAAATACAGTCAATTTTCATTTTAAACTGTAAAAACCACTCTTAGCTCACGGGCCATACAAAAACAGGCAGCAAGCGTGTAGTTTGCAGCCGACGCCATCTTTTACACATACAGAAATACTGCACTCTGGACACTGTTAGGGACTTTCAGTCAGCACAGGTGGAAAAGCCTCAAATGAAAAACTTGTGTGTTTTATAAAGAACAAGTTTCAGTAGGGGGTGGGGCAGCCCAATCTTTCTCTTCTTTTTGAGGTATGAGGCATCAGGGGCTCAAAATGCCAGATGTCCTTGGCTTCTCAGGACTGATTCACCTATAAAGTAATTCCAAAACTTGTGTGGGTCAATTTAGACCCCACAAAGCGAACTCACATCTGAGGGGAGTAAGATCTTAAAACTGCAGCTGATCTTTCAAAACCCTTTTGCCAGGCAAATGGACATGAAACCAAGAGTTTTACTCTGGGTTAGGAGGTGCCTGACTTCAAGCACTTCTACAAAAAGCACTTCTACTGGCTGGACAGTAAAGTTTTTTCTCCTCTCTCCAATTTTTTCCCTAACCAACTACACAATGAAGCCCTTAAATAATATTATGCAGATTTCTTTTGAAATTCACTACTTTTAGATTAAATCATGTGACTCAGAAACCTTTACCAGCCCTTGTTTCCTAGGCATCAGAAATCCCTCCACCATCTGGCCCCTTCCTACCTTTGCAGCCTTTCCTCAATTCCAGGCAGAATATACTATCAGAGACTTGCAGCTGGAAAGGACCTCAGCTCTCCTTCCTTATAACCCCTCCCAGAGGAGGGATGCTTTCTCCACAATACAGCTGGTTAAAGGGCTGGGATTTAAGAAGACCCTGAAGGACCACAAAGATTTTCATATCATTTGACACATATCATGTTAACTGATGCTCTGCCAGAAGCCCTCCAGGAGAACTGATCTCACTACCTGCTATCCTTTGTCCTTTGTTAATTCCTATGGTGATGCTGCTCTCTCTGTCTCCACAGCAGACCTGGAAGCTCACTACAGCCTCGCAATGGTGGAGCATTTAAGGAGGCTCCCAGGCCCGCCACATTCCAGTCCTCTCTGGGCTCTCACTTAGGACTTTACCATGTCCCTCAAGCCACACTACCCTAGTGTTCTTTCCTCATAAGAACGTAAACTCCTTGCAGGCAGGGGCTGTTTCCCTTTCTACTGGTATTTGTATTCCCAAATACAAATGTATGGTGCCTGACACACAGCAAACATTTAATAAATGCTTGTTGACTATAACTGTTCATTTTCCAATCCAGCTACTCCTGTCCATGAATTAGCCAGCTCAGATGCCACTTTTCTTCCCTACATCACTCACAGACTGAAATAATTTCTCTCTCCTTTGAACTCCCGAAAAACTTTTATTTCTCTTCCTTCATTATCACATTCTGCCTTGTGTTATTAGTACATGTCTTCTCTCCCCTAATAATCTATAAGCATTGTGAAAGCAGGAACGAGGTCAGAGTCACGTTTTAGCAGTCTTACACTGCTCCTGACCATATAATTAGGAAAGCTTGGCTCCAAACGCTAGTTCAACGACTTGCCACAAAGACAACGGCACAGTGAGGGCTAGAAGTCGTCTCCTGGCGTTGAGCTCACAAGCTCTTTGTCCAGCCCCTGCCCTCATACTAGGAAACTTCCACATCCACCCTGACACTCCCCTCACATCTCCTCAATTTACTTATGGCTTACACCTGCCCTCCACCTCCACCATAATGGTAACACCACTGATCTTGCCATCACTCACAAATGTACCATGTCCGTGGTCATGAACTCTGAAATTCCCTTATGAGATCACAATCTACTCTTATTCCACCTTTCCCTTGCAACCACAAACTGTTCCTCATCAACCAGTGACCTCCAATCCTTCAACCTATCCATCAAGTCCTTTCCAGGCCAACAATCCTATACTAGGTATACCAGCATCCCTTCATCTTGACCCCTTGGTGAACCAAGTCAACTCTAGACTGTCCTCTTTTTTCTCCAGGTTCATTCAGTAGTACATATATTAGATCAAAGGCAGCAGATGGGAGTTATCCAAGACTGAGGTTTAGCAAGACAAGATGGGCCATAAGGGTTAAGGTAAGGGATTCAAGAAATCATAAAATTATGCTGAGTCCACTACAAATTTATGTTGCATAGCCTGAACTGGGCCCTCACTGCTGCAAGGTCATCTTTTTACACTTCCCCAATTACCTCATCCCACTCAACACAGTGGTTCTTCCAAACCTCTCTACCCCTCCCTCCAACCTTTCATGGCTTCCCCTACCCCTGACCCTCTCAGCAAGGAACTTTGCTTCATATTCCAATGAAAAAAATTTAGGCTATTCACTAAAAGCTTCCTCTTCTCTCCTCATCTCACATTGCCCAGATGCTTTCTGCCACCATCTCCTCCTTTACCTGTCTCACATGAAGAAATAGTCCTTCTCACTAAGGCAAACCCCTCTTACCTGTACAAGTGATCCCATTCCATCCTTTCTTCTCCAGCAGACTGTACCCTCCATCATCCCTACCTTCTCACTTATCTTCAATCTCCCCTTTTCTACTGGCTACTTCCCTACTACCTACAAACATGTCTCCCCCCCACTCTCAAAAACCCTCACTTGATCCATACATCCCCATATCATCCCATATCTCTTCTCCCTTCTGTGGCTAAACTCCCTGAGAACACCATATGCAACAGCTGCCTCTACTTCCTTTCCTCTCATTCTTTTTAATTCTCTATAGTCTGGCTTCCAACCTCATTGCTGAACTGAAATTGCTCTCTCCAAAGTTACCAATAATCTAAGTGCCAGGTCTAATGGCCATTTTTTCAATCCTCATTCTTCCTGTCTCATCTGGAATTGAGGGATCACCCACTACTCCCTGAATTCTCTCTTCCAGGGGTGGGGAGCCTGTTGCCTCGAGGCCACATGCAGCCTTCTAGATGCTTGGGTGCAGTTTTTCGACTGAGTCCAAATTTTACAGTCCAAATTGTTCTGTAAAATTTTATTTTTATAAACAATACTTTAAAAACCTAATCAATATTTTATTTAATTTAAATAATTTAATAACTTTATTAATAACTTAATAAAAGTGCCCTTTCATTAAAAGGACTTGCTCTGCAAAGTTTGGATTCAGTCAAAGGGCTCATTTGAGGAACTAGAGGGCTGCCGGTGGCCTCGAGGCCACAGGCTCCCCACCCCTGCTCTCTTCTCTCTAAGTTTTCAGGACAATACCCTATCCTGCCTATTGGACCACTCCTCAGTGTCCTTTGTTGGATCTTCATTCAGGTCACATCCACTAACCATGAGTTTTCCCAGAGCTCTGTCCTGGATCCTCTTTTTTCTTCTCCCTGTATTTTATCTTGGTGATCTCATCAGCTCCCATGGTTTGAATTATCATCTAGATGCTGATGATTTTCAGATCAAGTTATCCAGCCCTAACCTCTCTGCTGACTTTTAGATTTGGTTCCCTAACTGCCTATTAGACATCTCAAAGTGGATGTCCTATAGATATCTTACACATAACATGTCCAAGACTGAACACATTATCTTTTCCTCCACACCTTACCCCCTTCCAAATTTCCCTATTAATGTTAAGAAAACCATCATCTCCCAAGTCACCCAGGCTTGAAACCTAGGTGCCATTCTTAACTCTTTGCTCTTTTCCAGACCCCATATCCCATCTGTTGCCAAGACTTTCCCTTCTCTCCTCTGACACTGCCATCACCCTGGTACAAGCCCTCATCTCCTCAAGCCCCAATTAGTGCAGTAGCCTGCTAGTTGGTCTCCCTGCCACAAGTCTCTCCCTACTCTAGTCCATCTTTCACTATCCTCTACTATGCCATCAGTGATTTTTCCTAAAGAGCACATCTGACCATGCCATTCCCTACTCTGTAAACTCCAGTGGCTCCCTATTATCTCCAGAATCAAATATAAAATCCTCTACTTGGCATTCAAAATTCTTCACAACATCCTTCCCTCCCCTGCTCCACCTCTCCTGTATCTGTACGCTCTGCAATCCAATAACAGTGGCTTCCTTGCTATTCTTCACAAAAGACATTCTGTCTCCCATTTCTGGCCATCCTCCATTCCGTGAACAAATCTTTTTATTAAGGGGGGGATTAATTCTGTAAAGTTTGGATTCAGTCAAAGGGCTGCACTTGAGGACCTGGAGGGCCACATGTGGCCTCAAGGCCACAGGTCGCCCACCCCTGGTCTAGGAGGAAGAAAAATAGACTGCCTTCACTAATGTTTGACCCACAGATCATCTTAGAACCTTTAAAAAACAACAACAATAACAAAAATAACAAACATAATAGTAGTCAGCACTTATATAGTGCCTACTATGTGCCAAGCACTGTACTAAACACTTCATAAACATCTCATGTCTTCCTCACAACTCTGAGGCAGAAGCTATTATTATTATTCCCATTTCAGATGCACAAACTGAGGCAGACAGAGGTTAAGGGATGTGCCTAAGATCACACAACTATTAAATGTCTAAGGCTGGGTTTGAATTCAGGTCTTCTTGACTCTCAGCCCTGATCTCCATCCAGTGCACCACCTAGTTGCTTATCATTACTAATAACAGCGATGACAGCTAGCTTTTATATAATGCTGTCAGGTCTACAAAGTGCTTTACAAATATTATCTCATTTAATCCTAACAACAACCCAGTGAGGGAGGTGCTGTTATCCCCATACGAGAGATGGGGAAAACGAGACAGAAGTTGTGACCTGTCCAGGGTCATACCGCGTGTCCATTGTATTTAATGGATAACCGCATTATTTTCATAAATCAAATATTTATAATTTCCTCTGACATCATTTAAGTGTCCATTGTCATTCTATAACATGAAAATATCTTCAAATCAAAACGTCAACAAGCATTTATTAAGTGTTTAGCATGTGCCAGGCACTGTGCTTTCCCTCCCAGAGGCTCACATACTGTTAAGAGTCCCTGTCTTCTACAGTAAGCACAGGCAATATAATTTTATGGTGCTAAGAAAAAAAACTGGTTTGCTTTAGCATTGCTTTAAATGCCACATCTTATGTTACTCTGACCAGAAATGACAGAGCAGTGAGCAAACTTCAAATTATGTCCAAGCTATGAAGAGACACTTTACTGAAACATAAGAGTATAGAAATTTTTTAATTTAATTGTTTTTTAATGCTAAAAGTATTAGAAGCAAGACTTTTGTCATGACACAATTTCTCCATGTTTCACACTTCTCATCCTTAAAAAGACAGGACTAGTCTTTATCACTAAGATCCCATCAGGTCCTAAAATTCTGTAATTCCATGAGACATGGAAAAGGCTCGCCATGGGTGACAAGGATAGAGAAGGGAGATTCTAAATCATGTCTTGGACATTTGCTTTAGCTGTTGGTCATGCCTGGAATACTCTCTCTCCTCATTTCTGCCTACTACTTTCCTGGGCTTCCTTTAGGTCCCAACTAAAAGCCTTCCCAACCCCTCCACGCTAGTGCCTTCCCTCTGTTATCTATTTCCTATTTATCCTGTCCGTACCTTGTTGTGTATATACTTGTTTGCATGTTGCTTCCCCCATCAGATTGTGAGCTCCTTGAGAGCAGGGACTGTTCCTTGCCTCTTTTTGTATCCCCAGTGCTTAGCACAGTGCCTGGCACCTGGAGCTTAATAAATATTTATTGACTGACATCATAAGAAGAGGTTGAAAGAAATGGTGATGGGTAGCCTAGAAAAACGTGCCTTGAGAAAAAAATGATAGCCACCTTCAAATATCAGAAGAACTGTCATGAAAAAGAGGGAAGTCATGTTATATGTGGCTCAGAAAGAAAAATCTGGACAAACGGGTGCAAGATATAGGAAGGCAGAGTGCAGGTCAATAAAGAACTCCCTAGGGGCAGCTAGATAGAGCACCAGCCCTGAAGTCAGGAGGACCTGAGTTCAAATCCCGCCTCAGACCAAACACTTCACACTTAGTAGATGTGTGACAGGAAGAGGAAGAGGAAGAGGAAGAGGAAGAGGAAGAGGAAGAGGAAGAGGACGAAGAAGAAGAAGAAGAAGAAGAAGAAGAAGAAGAAGAAGAAGAAGAAGAAAGAAGAAGAACTCCTCCCTAGAGACACAACAGCAGGATAGGCTGCTTCATGAGATGGTCAATTTCCTTTTTTTTTTTTTCCCCTCCTCCAACCATCCAATTTTACCTTCTTTTTTTGTTCTGAAATCTGTCCCTTCCATCTCCCCCTCCCCTTACTGAGAAAGCAAGAAAAACAAAGCCCACTACAAATGTGTATAGTCAAGCAAAACAAATACCTACATTGGCCATGTCCCCAAAAATACCCTGACCTCTATCTGGAGATGGGTAGCATGTTTCATCACAAGTCCTTTGGAACTGAGGTGGGTCATTATGCTGATCAGAGTTCCTAACTCTTTCAAAGTTGGTTGTCTTTACAATATTATTATTAGTGTAGAAATTGTTTTCCTGGTTCTGCTGACCTCACTCTACATCAGTTCATACAAGTCTTTCCAGGATTCTCTGAAACCATCCTTTCCATCATTTCTTACAGTACAATGGTATTGCTTTCATTTGCCACAACTTACTCAGCTATTCCCCAAATGATGGGCAGCCTCTCAATTCTCAATTCTTTGCCACCACAAAAAAAGCTGCCATAAATATTTTTGTATATATGTATCCTTTTCTTTGATCTCTTTGAGGGTAATGACCTAGTAGCAGGGTCAAAGGGTAGGCACAGTTTAATAGCTTTTGGAGCATAGCTCCCAATTGTTTTCCAGAATGGCTGGACCAATTGTGCCTGTTTTCCTATAGGCCCTCCATCATTTTTCATTTTCCTTTTTTTGGTCAACTCTGCCAATCTGATGGATGTGAGGTGGTACCCTGGAACTACATTAATGTGCATTTCTCTAATTATTAGTGATTAAGAGCAATTTTTTTTTTCATATCACTATTGATAGCTTGGATTTTTTTCCTCCGAAAACTGACATTTGACCATTTATCAGTTGGGGAATGGCTCTAGCTCCCTAAATATTTCAGAAATAAAACCTTTATCAGACAAACCTGCTGCAAAGATTTTCCTCCCATTTACTTGCTTTTATTCTAATTTTAGCTACACTGATTTTGTGTAAAAAGTTTTAATTTTATGTTATCCAAATTCTGAGACAGCTCATTGCTTATCTTATTTGAAGGTCTTCAAGCAAAGGCTAAATGACCCCTATTGAGGATGCTGGAGAAAAGCTCTAAGCACTGGGGAGGGAGTTGTACTAAATATTCTTGAGCTCTCTCAATTTTGAGATGCTGATTCTGGTACTGGTGTTCATATGAATGCCAGACTGACAAAGCTTAGGGATGGAGAAAATTTTTATTACTATAGAAGACGTTATCTGAAAGAGCATCAAGAAGAGTTACACTTCTTTCCCAGTGCCAGTCAGGGCTAGAGAATTCCAGAAAAACAACAAGGTAGTTAATAAAACATACCACATAGCATGGGAATATATGGGAAAGGGAGTACAGTATGGGAGTATATAAGAAAGGGCCCTGACTAGGAGATCTAAGCTCTAGTCCAAGCCCTGCTTCTTTGTGCACCTAAACAGGGTATTTCACCCTTACTGGGCCTCAGTTTTTTTATCTGCAAAAGTGAAATTGTTGGGCTAACATGGCTACCTCAGGTCCCATCTTCCTCTGAAATGCTGTGTTAAAGTCCCCTCTAATTGCAGAATTTTTTGATTCAATATTAGTATAAAACGCAAAGCAGTCTTTTTGAAATACGTTATTTTACTCCTCTTCAAGCAGGATCCCAATGATATTTTAAAACATTTTCTGGGGGCTATCCGACGATATAAATGACACTGTTAAAATGCATTAAAGTGCTATTTGTACAATCATAGAGGCAATCAAAAGTCTTTCAGTATTATCGTATGGCAAGTCCCTTTCACCTGTCAGTACCTGTCCCACACACACTCCACTGCCTGGGGGGCCTCTGTGGTCTACATGACAACTTCTTTAGATGCAGGTGCTCCACAAGCTCCCGTGTCACTCAGGCACAGCTGAAGGCTTGTCCTCTGTAACGCCTAACCCCAAAGCAGCACGAGGCTGATGAGTTCTCACTGATGGCACTGGAGAGGGGGCCACAACTGCTACCTTCAGTCTTCCCCTTGCTCTCAGAGACTAAGAAGATCAATTTTCTTTCTGTTTCTCTTCTATTGGCACCACTGTCTAGATAATTACTCATCACTGGTCATTTGCTAAGCTTTCCACTCCTTGATCTGCTGTTAACATTCTATGTAAACTGAGGTCACTGGTGATTAAAGCATTGGGAGGCCACAACGAAGAGCCCTGCCTGCACTTGGGGCTGAAAGTCTCAGCTCACACATTTGATTCACTGGGCATTCTGAGGTGAGTCATTTCACTTTTCTGGGCCTGCTTCCTCATTTATAAACTGGGAATGACAACAGGAGCAAGTAGAAGCTGAAGGCTTCTAAATGTACTTTAAATACATGATCTCTTGTAATCTTGGGGAAGCTAGAGGGTACAGTGAGTAGAGCACTAGGCCTGGAGTCAGGAAGAGCTGGATTCAAATCTGGCCTCAGACACTTGGTAGCTGTGGGACCCTGGGTAAGACACTTCACTTCTGTTTGCCTCATTCTCTTCAACTGTAAAAAGGATATAATAACAGCACCTACCCTCAAAGGGTTATCATGAAGATCAAATAAGATCATTTATAAAGTTCCCAGCAGAGTGCCTGGCACTATGTAAAATGCTTGTTCCCTTCCTTCTTCTCCATCTTCACAACCACCCTCAAAAAATAGGTACCCCAGCGATTATTTTCATTTTACAAATGAGAAAACTGAAAACACAGAGAGATTAAGTTATTTGCCCAGAGTTAGTTTGAGCGGCATAATTTGACATATAATGTTTTATACAAATAATACTTTTTAAGGCTGGTACTAGGATCAAAGGTGATAATCTATAAAATGCTTCATAAATCTGATGTGGGAGACAGTGACATTATCATCACCTTCATTTTCCAGAGCCTAGTGCAATGCCTTACATACAAGCAATAGTCCCTTAACAGATTTGAACCAAATTACAGATGAAGAAACTGGGGGTCAGATTAGGTGAAGTCACACAGTTAGTTAAATGACACAGCCTGGATCCAAACCCAGGTCTCTGGCTTCGCCACTGGCCCATGCAAAACGGAACACAGCAAGGAAGGCACCAGGAGAAGGTAAGAGATCTGGAAACAATGACACAAGGAAAGGCTGAAGGAGAAGCAAGGGACAGTTAGTGGGATGGAGGAAACTCAAGGCACACACACACATCTATCTGTGCTTAGATATCTAAAGGGTAGTGATGTTAGATGGGAATTATTCAATTCATGGCTCCACAGGACAGACCTAACGAAGATCTACGGGTTGAGCAGTTAGGGCCAGGTGGGCACATGATTTCAAGAACTTCCTAACATAACATTTACAACTAACAAAAAAAGGACACACTAGATAGGGGACAACCTATCTTGTCACTGAAAGTGTTCAAGCAGAGGCTGGAAATATACTTGTTTTGTTTTTTTAGCTTTTATTTTTAACTCTGAACTTAAACACCAAATAGAATGGGCACCTGCACAGACACAGGAGAACAGAAAAAGACGGATTGTACATGAAATGGAACCACAGGTTTCTGTTATACATAGCTTGCTTTTGTTTTTAAGTATATAATAAGATCAACTTGTAGCTTTCAAAGCTGCTGGATGATCACTTATCAGAGATGCTACAGAAGGGAATTCTTACTTTGGGAGAGGAATTATATATTTAAATTCTCTCTTTTTACCCAAATAAAAAAAGAGCTTACCCCTTGGCTTCCCTGAAATCGGATGGATGGTCTCAAAGCAACAGATTCCTACAAGAAAGAGGGGGAAATATGCATTAGTAAAAGTATGCAGAAATTTTAAGACTGATTAATGTTACATCAGGAATAAATACCATTTTAGTGAGATTTTACCTGATTTTTTTAAGCTTTAACACTGTAATTACACCTTTAACTCTGCTTAAGAGACCTGTGACATGTTAAGAAAGCTGTTTATTTTTTATTACCTAACATACACGCTTTGAGGCAAATCATTTTGCTCCTCTGAGCCTTAGTTCCTTTATTTAACTAAGTTGTTTCCAGCTCTAAAATTCTTTTATTTAACTTTCTAGATCAGAAATTGAATTCTTAAAGAAAAAGACTATTTCAACAAGTTGTTTAAGCAGCCCAGTGAGATTCTGAACTTGCATAGCAGACTTACTATGAGGTAATCATGATGACTCATTATTTAAGAACCAAGTTTTTCTTCTGAATCACTAATAATTACACGACACATGGCAGAAGATAATATTGGATCTCCATATCTAACAACAGAAGTATTAAATCACTATTCTATTATTATATGTGTTTATATACATGACAACATGATTAGTTCCGGGAAAATATCAAAATTCCTACTTGGCAACTACCTGCCCTGCTAACTAAATCATAGTTTACTGGCATTTATAATAACTCCTCATTTCTATGGTGTTTTCCAGTTTACAAAAGGCTTTCTTCACAACCAACTGAAGCAGGACAGTATAGATATTTGCACTTTACAGATGAGGAAACTGAGGCCCAGAGAAAGAAAGTGACTTGCCAAGGGTGTTAGGATATCATTAACAAGTGTTGGTAGTTAGCCAGAAAGGGACCTTCAAAAGTCTTAGAGTCCAAGCCCTGTACTTTATAGACCAAATTCTCCTGACTCTAAGCCCAGGGTTCTTGACACTATACCACACTATTCATAACTTCAGGCTCTATTTCAAGTCCATTTAATAATCCTTATTGAGCACCAACAGTAAACAGTACTGTGCTATGTACCAGCAAAGATAAAAAATTAAGGCAAGACCCCCTCCCTTTACCATCTGTGAGTGTGATACATGCAAAAATAACTCTGATATCAGCGTTATGGCTAAGTGTAATTAAGTGGGCAAAACAAAGCATATATGAAGTTTAAGGTGAAAAGTTTTTTGATTTTGTTGTTTTTTGTTTTTTTACTCACGAAAACCTTCATGAAGAAGGTGGCATTTCCTTTGGGCAAAAGAATGGGTGAAGAATCCAAGTGAAAATGGGAAGAACATTTTAGGAACAAGGGAGTTAGTAAAAGCATTGAGGGAGAAACATATAGGGTGTGTTTGGGAGACACAGAGTGGTTCAGTTTGCCCAGTTCTACTATTTACTTATATTGTCTTCAGCATGGAGAAGGCATGAACCAAGAACATAGCAAGGTTAGAGATAAAACAACAGTAGTAGCATAGCAGCAGATGTTGAACTCTAAGCATAGAGCAGACACAAAGGAAAGATGGAACATAATGGGGGACCTGAGTCAGATCTTCAAAGAAAGTAATAAAGCCATGCTCTTAAACTACTGATAACTGCTCCAACACCAGGCATACCCAAATTCAAGTACAATTACATTACAAAGATAAATGTATACAAACTGTGCCTGTACACTAGCTTATAAATCTCAGGCTCCCTAGAACCTAAATGCTGCACCTTGGGCATTCAGCAATAAAGACATCTGTACTGCCAATTCTAGTCACAGATCCAGAGATAAAACCCTATATAGCTTCAGCAGACTACTTCACCCCTGTAAAGGAAAACATGTTCTGCCCAAAAATACTCAAGCAGCATGGTGTATCAGAAAGACTAATGGACTTAAGGTCAGAACCAACCATGTTGGGTCACAGAAAATCCTAACTAGAAGGGATTACAGAGATGATCTAAATGCAGTCCCTTCAGTAAGTGAGTCAACAAGCATTTATTAAGCACTTAGTATGCTCCAGACACTGTGTTCCAGGCAAGGGATACAAACAAAGGCAAAAAACGGTCCATGCCTCCAAGGAGCCCACCTTCTAGTGGGGAAACAACATGCAAACAACTGCACAAACAAGAGGTACTGAGAGCAAACTGGAAGTAATCAACTTCCAGAGAAGGCCCTGACATTAAGAGGGGCTGGCAAAGGCTTCTGGAAGAAAAGGGGAGTTTAGCTGAGGTCTGAAAGAAGCCAGAGAAGTCAGGAAGTAGAGACAAGAAGGGAGAATATTCCAGACAGGGGGCAGCCAGTACAAACACAAAGAGTGAGGATGGAACGTCTTGTTCATTTTACAGAAAAGAAACTAAGGCCCAGAAAAGGGAAGTGTACTAGCCCAAGGTTGCACAATTTGTAAGCAGGATGGTGTAATGGAAAAAGCCCTGAGCCGGTACTGGAATCTCAGCTCTGCTACTTGGTACATATGTGATCTTGGGCAATCCACCACATCTCTGAGTCTCTGTTTTCTCCTCTGTGAGATGACTGGATTAGATTACATGTTCTCTTGGTACTTTTTACTGCTAAATCCCATGATCCTGTTACTAGATATCAGAGCTAAGCCTTATCTTTCCTCAAAGCCTCAGTTTCCTCATGCAGAAAGTGGGGACAGAAATATTTGCAATACCTATCTAATCCATGTTTTGGGGGAAGAATTGTAAACCATAAAACACCAAAAACAAGTCCTTGGTTTTTCCAGGAAAAGCCAAGTGGCATGGGAGAGTGAAAATGTGCCAGGAAACACAAGAAAGAAGAGAAGCAGAGAGGAGATGGAAGACAGAGAGTGGAATTAGCAGGGCAATAGCGAAAAAGAAACAGCCTATGAAGAGCCATAGTAGTGCAGCTTGGGAAGGGAGTCTTTTAGACTGAGCACCCTCTGAGGCCATCGACTTTCCCAAGGACAGGGAAGTTATTCTTCTACTAGACAAATAGTAGAGCTCACTGTGGTCTAAGAGCTCACTGTGGGGTCTAAGAACATCTGTAGGCCTGCTTCTTCTAAAAGAAGCTAAGGGCATCAAACCAAGAGTCAAAAGGTGCTGATTTGAGTCCTGCTTGTCAATGAGGGCGCTTCTCTGGGAAGAGTATTAAACATGAAGTCAAGAAGCCTAAATTCTTGCCTCAGTCTTCTGAGTCTCTTCTTTAACTCTGAGTAAATTAAATGGTCCATTTTCTCATTAGCAAAACGGGGGGCTACTCTCACAGAGAGACTGCTGAGGTGCACTTCAGCTCTAACGGTTTTGTAGTCTAGAATTCATTCCTTTTCACTGTCACTCTAGAGATTCTAAAATGTTCAATTCAAAACTAAGTTCACACTCAATACAAAAAGAGGTACCTTACTGCCACAGTTCCTTTAAGGAACAACAAACAAGGAATTACAAAGAAGAGTGTTGCAAGATGTCTTCAGAAAAATAGATGGGGGCAACTAGGTGGTACAGTGGATGGAGCACCAGCTCTGGAGTCGGGAAGACCTGAGTTCAAATCCAGCCTCAGACACTTGACACTTACTAGCTATGTAACCCTGAGCAAGTCACTTAACCTTGACTGCCTCACCAAAAAAAAAAAAAAAAGACTGGTTGGTTCCCTACCAATAGGGAAGGATAACCTCCAGATCTACACAATGTAAAGACAACATGAGGAAACAACCTTGCCAGACTTTAAGAAATGACATGGCCAGGAGTTGTCCAGGTTGGACCAGCATGAATCAGGTTGTGCTCAGCACTGCTGAAGGAAGTAGTATTTTAGTTGCTGTGAAAATCCACTGGCATATTTCCAAGGGAGTGTGGGGATACAAAGACCAAGTAAACAATTCTTGACCTCAAGGAGCTTAAATTCTACTGGAGGAAATGTGTACACAAATAAGTAAATACAAAGTAATGGGGGCATGACAAGAGAGATACTAGCAACTAGGCGAAAGGTCAGGAAAGGTCTCTTGTAGGAGGCCATCCTTGAGACAGTGGAGAGGAGGAGGGGTGCATTTCCGAATGAGGGACAGCTTTTCAAAGGCACAGAAATGGAAGATAAGAACGCTCTGTGTAAAGAGCAGTGAGTAAACCAGTTTGGCTGGATAACAGAGTCCATGAATTCTTTGCTGTTTTTTGTTAAAAGGTTTCTGTGTGTGTGTGTGTGTGTGTGTGTGTGTGTGTGTGTGTGTGTGTGTGCGTGCGCGCACCTGTGTGTGTGTTGGGAGGAGATGGGGGAAGCAGTATTGTGTTACTAGTTTAATTACAAAACCTTTGGGGTAGCATACCTCGGAAGGTAGGCCAGAGACAGACTGGGCATGGCTTCAAATGCCAAACGGGTATTTTTATTTATCCTAGCATCAAAAGGGAACCACTATAGCTCTTCCTTTGCTCTCTTCCCTCCCCCACCTCAAGCTTTTTGAGCAATGAAATGACATTAGTCTTCTAGTACTTTGGAAATGTCACTTATTCAGATGTACGGAGGAAAAGACTGGCAAAGATACCAGTCAGTTTGTTATAGTAGTCCAAGTCAGAAGTGATGAGGGATTGACTTGGGCTGCTGGTTTTGTAGGCAATAAATATTAATAATAAATAGCTAACCTTTATAGAGTACCTACTATGTGTCAGGTACTATACTAAACACTTTTACAAATATTAGCTCATTTTATCCTCACAACAATTCTGTGAGGTAGGATAACTATTATTATTCTCATTTTACAACTGAGGAAACTGAGTCAAAGAGAAATGACTTGCCCAAGATTACCTAGCTAGTGCCAGATTTGAACTGAGTCTTCCTGACTCCAGGTATAGCACTCTATCTATTGTACCACTTAGGAGATATATTCCAGAAATTTTATGCAGGTAGAATTAGTGAGATGTGGCAACTTGTAGGCTACAGGAGGTGAAAAGTGAAGAGTAGAGAAAGGATAACTTGGAGGTTGTGAACTTAAGTGACTAGGAACATGATGGTAGGCCTGAAAAAAATCAGGAAGAGTGGTGGGTTTGTGAGGACGGAGGAGAGAAAGAGTTCTGTTTTAGACATGTTAAATGGGAGCCATTTATAAAATGTTCAGTCTGACACTGAAGGCATTTGGTGAGAAAGAACAAAACTGGAAATATAGCTTTGGGAATCATTGTTATCAAAATTATTATGAACTTCCTCACAAAATTGAATCTACATTGTATCCTCTCTTCTACTTCTTAGAATCACTAGCTTCCTTCAAAATTATTAAATCATTATTCTACTATCATTGGTTTTTTTATACATGATACAATGATTCATTTTGGAAAAATATCAAAGTTCTTGCTGACACTTGCCTATTCTGCTTAACTAAATCATGGGCTATTGGTATTTATAGTAATTGCTCCCCATTTCTGTCTTTGGATACCAGCACCTAATGCCTAGCAAACTACAGGTGCTTAATAAATGCTTGTTGCATCAATAAAAGATCCATTATGCCCACTTTACACAGGACTTAAAGAACGATTGTAATACGCAATGTCTGAAGTTGCTTGTGATTGAAATTCTCTTATAAGTCAAATAGGATGGAAGCTTATGAGAAAGATGGCCTGTATTTGTTAAAGTAGTTAGACTGTATCTGAG